GGATCCGGAATGGTGAAAAAGTGCGATTTTGATGCATTTTCGACCTTAAAATGGTCGCTATTCAGCTATCGTTAATCGGATCATGAAGAAAATGCGTGTGCATATGTCCCATATAATGTGTGATGTATGAGTGAAGTTTGAACTTAATCGGTCCATGCATGTTCGAGATACAGGTGATCACGGACGCACGGACGGACGCACACAGGGCAAAACATAAGTCCGCGTTTTCGGACTACGTCCGAACGGGGACTAAAAAATCAATGACTTAAGTTGGAACACATATACAGGTTAACAAACTTAACTTGTTCACCCTTAACAATATATGCTAATTTAAAAAAACAACAACAAAACAATGATCAAGAAATGTGTGCAACAGGAAATTATGTTCATTTCAACGGTACTTGTGCCTTATTGACAGTTTTTTTTTTTGACGTATCACATTCTGCCTTGTACTGGTATATATGCTTTAACTCAAATGTCATTTGGTCCAAAAATAAAAGCGTGCAAAATATATTACATTACAACAATTTTGATGGGGAAAACCGTGGCATTCAAGGAGTCACACCAGTAGCTAACAACAATCTGTCCAAAAAAGACACAAAAACAATAAAATGCCATATTGAATTCTTTTATTCGTAAGTTTGGCATCCGCAATAATAATATTAATAATAATAATTCAATTAATTTAAGTAACATGAGAAAATATGTAACTATATTTTTTTTCTTCTTTCCTAAGTGATCATATTTTTGAAAACTTACATAGTGGAAAATAACTTAATGTTGAACGAAAGTGTTCAGTATAAAATGTCCACTCAAAAAAAGAAAAAAAAACACAAATAAACTCTAGTACTTGGTATTTGATCATGTACAACACAAAACAAAGTGTGTTGAACAAACAATCCCAGAAGATGGAAAACACCAGTCGCCATAACAACCAGCCTCTATGCATCAACCGATTCATTTTTTTTTTCAAAGATTTTTTTCTTCTTTCTAAAAAATATAATTACATAACAAATGGTTGATATTTCTTATTTGTGAACATTTTTCTTTTTTTTTATTTTCAGCTTAAAAAATACAGTTTGGTAAATCTAAATAAACAACCATGGCAATGACCTTAGCACCAACTCAACTCCACCTTTCAGCCCTGGCAAAGCTTTTCTTTCTCAGACTCATTATAACTGTATACATAATATATATATAAATACAATATGCTAAAAATTAAATACTCACACAAAAAATAGCTGAAATACATTGTATTATGAAAAAGATAATATATGATTATTAATTTTTATTATTTTGACCAATAAGATCAATGGTTGCAGAAATGATACAGGATTAAAAAAAAAAAATTGACATGTGTTTGTGACTTGTCTTGAAGAGCGTCCAACACGATACAATTTTGACTGCGACTTCATTGGCAGGGTGAGGTGGGGGTATTCTTCAACCCTACTTTTTTCACTAACAAAAACCCTCCCCTTGAAAAACACACATAATAAGACAGTCCATTTTTTAGAAGTTGGGATCAAACACAAAATAAATAAGACCAGTACAAAAGATGATCGCTAAGTTTGTGAAAATATATCAAAATTTGCCGATTCAAAATCACACAAGAGTTGAATCATGGAAGGTACTAGTATTCAAGAAGTCAACCACACCAATGAAGTCAGAAACACAAGTACGCAAAAAAGGCAGTGTATATTTCAATATTAGTATCAAAGACAAGACGATTTAATTAAAACACAGAATTATTATTATTATTGCTGGAAAATTCCTGGAATAAAGTGATTATATATATTTACCATAAATTGATAGCATAAATATAAAACTACTAAACATATTAATAATATGTACAACAAACAGATAATTATTGTTTACTAGAAATTGATTATTGTTCTCAAATTTGCGAGAACACTCATCCTCCTTGTAAATTGAAATGGCTGGAACGAAATCAAACACAGCACTTTGTATAAGTAGTAAGCAAGAATGAACACATTTCTTCAAAAATCGCTAAATTGAATTCACCCGTAAAGTTTTATTCTTCCTATTAAAAACCAACACAAAACTCAATGCGATTACAACAATTATGACAGTGTTAAGAGAGAAGCAAAACGTCAAAGTCGCGACAGAAAACAAAAATACTAGTACTGTTATGTTACATATTCAGCAGCAAGTTGCAATGCATGCATGTTACCGTACATCACTTTTGCCGTTCTAATTAGAACTTTTTGGGAGAATATTTGGCTTCCATTCTAATACAGAGACTATATTAGAATTATAAATAAACCCATGTTCACATGTTGCGATTTTCTCACAAAATTCACAAAAAAATTATCCTGCGAAGTTACATCTGTTTTCCTAATGTGTTTCAAAATGAAGTTGCCCATAGCAATAATAGTTGTTTTCTTCATCAATTACTCAAAGGGAGGTGGTCACCATGCTGCGCTGTGTTTGATATGGGTCCCATAGCAACATATACAACATGTGGAAAATAAATTGTTTACACCAGTGCCCTGTAATGCGTTCGATACGAGTCCCACAAGACATTGTTTTGAATACACAAAAGACAACCACTTTAAGGCTCACAGATATTTCACTACCACCAAACTATTATTGTATTCAAGGGTGCAGCCAAATACATTTTATTTGAGAATTCATCGTTGCGCATGATAAACATCCAAAATAAAAAACAAAATATTGATAGTACATGGTACTATTTTTTGCTAGGTGGATGACTGGGACGGACTAGATAATTGGCTCCTCTCGCTCCCATATAAAATATACAACTTTCTATAAATAAATTCTAAAAAAAACAAAAAAAAAAACAATTGTCCATCCCTGCCACACCCTCTTAACCTAACATGTACTCAGCATAGGTCTCATCCTTGCACTATTAAAAAAATCGTGGCATAGGACAACAATTATGCAGGTATTGTGAAGTAGATAATTAGAATACAAAACAGTACAATGTGACAAAATGATGTACATCATCGTCACACATGACATTAAGTCCCTTTACATAGTATCAACAGTATGCAAAACAATTACCACGTTTGCTCCCTTGCAAGTGCACTTAAAGCGAGGGAGTCGTCACCTGCGTCAGGTGGCCATAGCATGTCATTATTTACAAACAATCGTCTACCCATGAGCCTCTGCGTTCTTAGCGCGTGTTGTTATTGCTTGGGACTCAATTCCCGTGCGTGCCCAGCTGATGACCCTCTCGCTTTAAAACTGCTTTCATTGGGTATGCGATACTAATATCGCAAATACAGTATAGCTACTAATATTACAAATATAATATGACCAAATTCAACGCGGACCATATAGTTTATGTGTTAATTAATTAATTTTAAACGAGACAATTATTAGAAAATATTAAATATATATTATAAATCTATAGTTATTGAGAATAAAATTAACCCCAAAATAATACAAGATAGTGGGCAGAGTTCAAATACATACCATTATTAGAAATTACAAACACTAAAAAAAAATGAAATCTGAGGAAATCAATGCAAGTCTTAAAAAAATCCATTTCCATTGGTCATACAGCATAACTTACAGCGGTTCCTCGAAAAATACAACATGAATTGGTTTCAAAAAGCAGTGATCATAGTTAGAACTGTAAATAAATGACTCTCCAAAAACTTGTGTAAATACAGAAAGACACATAAATATACGCATAAACAGAAAGAAACAATCTTACAAGTGCCTTGTTATTGCTCTTATTGGAGAAGTTAAGCTTTGTTCCCCACTCAGGCAAATGGAATAGACCAGCTATTCCGGCAAGCCCCTAGATGATACCAATTTACAACTATAATGGGGGTGTCAAGGTTTTGCTTTATCATTTATTAAGGAAGTAATTTGAAATAAGGAGAACAGATAATGTATACTAAATGAACTAATGTGGCAGGGTCAATGAGAAGCAGTAACTAGGAGAACCTTCTTCCCCAATCACTCAAACGATGATAAAATATTGAAGAATAATTAATTTCTCAAATATGGCTGTAACATTTAAGAATGGTTCATAAGAACACCTATAAACTTATGCAGGTTTTACACTCACCCCACCTAAACTAATGAAATTAACGCAAGGGTGACTCAGCAGCCATAAATTGGTCTTCTAACTCTAAGACCACACAATCTGTAACCTGCATATTTCTATTAAATTAATTTTCATTTCGATATTTGTAATAAAAAATTTGAAGTTGGAATGTTTGCCAGTCTCCTTTGCTTGGTTGCCAAATAAATAACACAATCAGTGCAGCATGTTTTTTTTCTCTCTCTCAATAAAGTTATATTATATCACAGAGTATTAAAGTGGTTTTACTGTAAATTATGTAAAAGACTATGTAATACTGAAAAAGAGACAAGTTTGCACAGCAAGAGTCTGTTCAGAGCAAGTTAAAATTCCACAAGACCATAGAATTCAGCAGTCAATATTCACTGACAACACTGCAAGAAGTTTCCTAAAACGGAAAACCCTCACCGCCTTGCATGGTCACAGTTATAAGAATAGAACACATTTTAGATGAAAACATAATTTCCCTCTTGCGTCAAAACTACTTCTCTCAACTTGTATCCAAGCGCTAGACTTTTAATGACTGTCCTGGCATTATGCATCTTTTCAACATTTTCTCTGCTCTTTTTTTTATTCTGGACTCCCTGGAGATGACACCAAACAGTTACTATGGTTACCATTGTGCTTCTTTATCATACTAGGATGGAAATTAGCATGGCGACGAGCATGTTTCATAAGATGGTCACTTCGCATGAATCGCTTGTCGCAGATTGGGCAGGCGAATCGCTTCTCGCCAGTATGTGTACGGTAGTGTCTCGCCAATTCGTCAGAGCGAGCAAACTTCTTGTTGCATTCTGGCCAAGTACAAGGAAAAGGTCGTTCACCTTCAATAAAACAAACATAAAAAAACAAAAACATTATAACAAAGCCATGTGACATTAAATCTGATGTGCAGTTTAAAACAAATGTTTTTACACAGATATTGCTTGTTAAATTTGATCCTGGCATTAAAGCGAACTCAAATTGAAAAAAAAAAATTGGCAGTTGTCCAGCAGAATACCCACTTTTATCATAGGAAGCCTAATGAGACAATCATGAAAATAAACACAAATATCACAGTAACAACAACAATTCAGTTATCACCATAGTCATCTACATTTTTGCTGGGAGAAAATAATTTTTATAGAGCAGTTCAAAAAGACAGAGCATAACATAACATGACTTTAATTGGCGTTGTAGCCGCCAACAGTTATTTCAGTTTACTTGGTGAAAAAGAACATCAAAAGCTTGCTTTGACATTTAAAGATTTTGAATAAAACTATATTTTCATGCATACAACCAAGTATTTTGTTTGTTTATTTATTTGTAAAGCTGACCCAGTTAAGCATAGAACAACATTAGGGTTTTGTATGTATGTGAGGCTATACAACTGATTATCTCTATAAATAGTACAAAAAGACCTTGACCCAACGATACTCATTTTTTAACTTTAGACACATTAAAAAGGGCATATCTTCTTAATCAATCAAACTGGAGCCCATTTACTGCTGGCTGATGATTATGCAACAAAAGTGATCGTTGCCATGGGGATTCACAGATGCAAGATCAATCAAAATTTTCTAAACCGAACAGCGACACTTTCAAAAACAACTCTCATTATTAGAATATAAAAAAAAATTATAATTTTTCCTTCGTCTCTATTTTTTTTTTTTTTAAATAAGTAGAAATGGTATCAATAGGCGCGGTAACTGGAGTAGTTCTTTCTATGGTGGACAATATTTACACACAAGCTGACAGAAATAAGGTCTCCTTAGGCCAAGGTCGCTCTGTTGACAACAAATCCAATATCAGCTTTGCCCCTTGACACTGAAATTCACGAGGTCACAAATTTGCATATCAATGAAGTTGCTGTGTTTCAGATTTTCCTTTGTTGATAAAGCCGAAAAGAAAGCCCTACAGGTTTAACTGTAAGTACAATACTAGAAGATATGCAAATTATTTCATGGAAGTGAGTTTATTTATGACAGATTCTTGAAAAACAGTCCCTGCTTCTCCGAATTAAATGTATTTGAAGTCATAAAATTAAAGTGTAGTAGTGTCCCGACAAACCAGATTGAATTTTTTGTGAAGCAAGCCTCACAGAAAAATCTAATCAGTATCCTCATCACGTTCTTCTCCCAATTTGCGATACCCTCTCTAATACTTGAAGAATTGGGAAAGCGGAATTAATAACACAATTTATGAATAATTACAGAAATGCCCATTTTTTTCTATTGGTTTATTGAAGGCTATTATACAACAATTGTAAATTATCAGTGGTAACTATAGCAACATGAATTAAATAAATCAAAATAACTAACTGACCGATCAGAGAAAAAAAAAAGTACCAGCCACAAAAGAAGTAGGGCATAATCTGTTTTCAAGGCCTTTACCTTGATACCTATATAAAGTTATTTTATTGATCAACGACTGGCCTTCATTTCATTTCCTCACCTTTTAATATTTTCCCATAGGGAGTTGAACAATTAAAAAAGCATTGTCATTCAAGAGTGGAGGATCTGGTGTCCACAAAGGAAGTGGGCGTCTCCTATAAACAAAGCTGGCCAAAGTTGAATTGTCTTTTGTTGCGATGATTCATTATGGCAGGTATGGTAACCTACCTTTTGGGCGTATAATGTTTTTATTTCAAGATAATATATATCAATTGCTTTAAATAGTTTGAAAAAAAAATACATGCAAATATTGGCACAATTTAAAATTCTAGCAAACAAACTGCAACTTTAAAAAAATATGTGCTGATTAAAATAATAAAATTATTATAAAAATGTCATTTAAAATGTTAATAAATAAATGTATAATATTGTACAATTTTATCCTGATTTTTTTAAAGAATTTTAAGAAATAAATTTTAAGATGTGTCAAATTTATTGCTGACCTTACATCGCATTATCGAAAGTTCATGACCTTTGGACTAACAGCATGAATACCCACTTGCAGTTTCCTGTGTCTGACTGCGTATTTTAATGACTACGATTGACAGACAAACTTCTAGATGTCCAAAGCACAGGAAGTCAATATAACACATACTAGTATTGTGTAGGTATTGTGATGATCAAGGTCTACCACTTCAAGCTATCTCAACGATGTTCGAAAATAAAATAATTTGTTGTTGTTGTTGTTGTAATATTATTTCACTAAAACTATGATTAACGTAAGTTGCGGCGTTTAATACGTTTTTTTTTTTTTTTTTGACAATGCTCATCACAGCAGTTATTTCCAACCGTTGCGTCAACATACCAGTCATTCGGGAATTGCGTATTGCGACACAGGTGTAGGCGACGGAATGGGCGTTAACCAGTTTGCACGAGCGCTATGCCAACGAAAAGAAAATAGAAAATAATCGGAGTAACTATACAATTTTCAAATAAAATAAATCAAGTAGCGATTTTTAGAAAGTGATTTTAACTATTCTCGCTATTTTCGTAAAGTTGGCTTAATATTATCAGTCATGAACAAAGATATCCGCTGACTACGGTGCTGTCGCCAAACGGGGACACGCCTACATACAGAAATAGCAATGAAACCATCGAAGTGCGCGCACGGGTACATACATAAATGCAAGCTTGCACAACTACAGATTCGTTGCTTTTAATTAAACTGCAACATATACAACGTATAGCTTCTACAATAATGTGATAAACAAATCATAACAGGAAGCGATACAAATGATACGAAGGACCACATGGGCAACGCACACCGGCACAATCAGCTGTTCAGCGCAGCAGATCTGACAGTTGCGCAGTTACAAAAATACCAACATTTCCGATTGAAAATAAGAAAATGTACCTGTATGGGTTCTAAGGTGGGCCTTCAAGTGCGATGATTTCCCATAAATCTTGTCGCAATCTTTGTAATGGCATCGATGTTTCTTAGGAGCCGGTCCAAGACTACTTTTCCTGGCACGTTTTCCTCTTTGTCTCCCGCCCACCATGGCCGGTGAGGTAGGTGGGGCAGCTTTCGTCGATCGTTTTCGGTTTGAATTCAAGTCTGTTTCGATATCGCTGTCTTCGCTTGGAATGATTCCTGACTCTTGGTAAGACGGAAATTCGTTTACCGGGGAGTTTGCCTGTGATCGTGGCCTGTGCTTGTTTAAATCCGTCAGAATTCGCGCCACCATGAACAAAGGATTTGGTAGTTGGAAGTTATTGTCCGCCTCGCTACCAGCTGGACAGTCAATCGTCTGATCGCTGAGTATTGCTGGCTGAGGTTTTGGATTTTGTAGCGACATCGCCATCGACAGTAAACACTCAGCAGCAAATTTGGCTTCTGGTTCTCTCTGTCTCACAAAATCCGCCTGTGCTTCTGTTGAGGTAGCCATGGTTTCAGTACTAAACTTTAGTCCACGCGTGTTTTGTTGTTTGGTAGTTGTGTCGTCGATCAATGAATTCAAAATCTTGCCGGTAAACGTTTGTCGACCGTTTTGGTGAGATATTTGATATTACCGTTAAATTAACGTGTTCATCAGAGAATCGCACCCATCGATTGATAAATATGTTATGTTACACGAGATTTTCCGTCGTTGAATGAGAAAATCGCTAAATTTAGGAGCACGATGTCTTTGTTGCGAAACTCTAGTTGGTCGACAAAGCTCGCTTACTGCGTCATTTACATATAGTAGGCGTGGTTGGCAAGCAGCACGAGTTAACCTTTGCCTCTGAGCACTGATTGGTTGAATGCTATCACATGGGGGAAACCAGACATATCACTACGTCAAAAGACCTCGAAACAACAACAAAACCTACCGTTGGTAATTCACGTGTGTAGTGAGGGTGAACACGATGACCTTGAGGAGTTGAAAAGCTTGTCGCCCACCTTCCGACCCAATGACATTGCTTCAACCGAGATGTGCACAAACTGGTACAATGCACCAACATATAGCTACATTAAAACAATTCAAAGTCATGAACTTGGCAATAAAAAGTTCAACTTCAATTTTTTTCTGGAATCATGTTCATCTAATAACTACAAATATCTCCAGCGATTCAAACTCATGACTACAAACCTTGCGTGGCTACAAACATGGGTATATCACTATATGCTAACAATTTAAACAACACAATAAACATTTTTTTTTCGTCTGACTTGTCCTTCTGCTGCAGCCGTGACACTGACCCTCATCAATATTTTCGGATTCCCTAAATGGCCATCGTTTTAATATTTCAGTCAGGCCATCGTGGATATATAAGTCTGTGAGCTTTAAAACCTACTTTCATAAACACAAATTATGGGGGGGGGTGCAATAACTGAGGTATATAATCATATATACACCTGGTGTATATATACAATCAAATTATTATTCAAATCCGGGCTTGTCGTAATAAGTTGTGACAAACACTTTTTATACTCATTATAATAAAAAGTATTGTTTTTTAGCTCAATTATAATAACTAATTTAATTAATTGTTATAGTAAACCATTCACTTTCAAACTTATCGAGCTAGTGTGCTTTTTAAATTGTTCACATAGCCATAATATTTTACTACAACCAGTGTGAAGAAATTAAATTAAACTGAAATTCATTATGATTTAATCCAAATATGTGTTTGTCACACATACGCACCAGGATTTCGCAATTTAAAAGCCAGCATTGGGTAATTTTATGAGAAGTCGAAAGACGGAGGGTCAGTCAACCTGTAGGGACGGGCCATTATATATTTGGGAGGGTGAACAAAATTAAAGAATATACTATATTTGGAGAAACAAGTACAAACATATTCACTGGGAACAATATAATTTTTCAAAAAATCAGACTTTTAATAATTGTATGACCCCCCCCCAAAAAACATGATAAACACTCTAATTGGAAAAACCAATAAATCACTAGCCGCTAGTATATGGCAAAATGCTTTGAAAATGCAGTATAAAACACACACAACATCAGTTCCCACTCCTTCAAAGACATAATGGTCTATCCCTTATTTGGAATCGGAGTTATCCGTGTGACAAGTCACGTGCCAGGTTTCTTCATACATGTACATTGTACCTTGACCGTATTTCACCTGAACATGCCGACACAATAATAACGACAATATATGTAATTAAAGCCTTGACCGTCTTTCGTTTCCTCCGCGTGTAACCATGGCAACTATCTAACGTCATCACTGCGCTCAGGCACGGTTTTAGTAATCGTGGCTCAGATCATAAAATACTAGTAGTCGATATTTCGTGGCTTGCAACTCGATGCTTGTCCCAGGCGTGTCCTCGGGGAAGGGGCGCGGACCACAGGCCATGTATACATGCAGCCAAGCATGGCTTTTCACAAAAGCTGCGTTGACATCTGCGGGCGTTAGTGATTGCCGGTAGGTGCTATGTCATTTATGGTTCGTCGCTGTCTAAGAGACGGATGCCCAAGGTCGCACATACTTTAATGTAACGGTAGACGCGGTGTCCTAGTTTCCGTCTATTATTTTGTTTGAATAACCTTTGAATATCATTGATATTTAACCTGATTGTTTACGTGTTAGAAAGTCACATCTCGTACGTCACTATAACTGAAAGGAACACACGTTTTTGTTTTGTTTTAATAATCGGAATACTGTTACTAGATACACTGAGCACTAATTAAGAGATGATTATAATCTGCCTGTTCAGAACACGTGGAACTCTGTGTGAAGTGACGTGTATAAGCACGTTTTGCACGTTACAGATCTATCGTTGCACCCCCGGGTAATGATAATGATAATTCGGTGATAATTCAATAAATAATCCGTACATATATATCACTATGCATTACGCAAAAGGTTTAAAATACATCATTTGTATGACGTTTGTGTGTCACTTTCATTTGCGATGTTAATTTAGCTGATCGTAGCTGCGGACCTGTTTTTAATGCGATCGACTCAAAACTGAGGAAGTAGCACGAGAACATGTCGAAACATATTGACTAGTGATTATCGGGGCAAGTTATACATTTGAAGAACACAGGTCACGGTGACCATGAACAAACGAGATAGTGGTTGTTCCACTCGCCGCGAGATCTCACGATCTGCGGAGCATGCAGTTTGACTGTACTTTCACTGTACAGTACAGTGTACCATAGTGTTGGAACAAATATGAAATTTACGATGTGTATGGTTTTTTTTCTAAGAACAAAGTACGGTCACCGAACTACTTTTGCACACAAACGGGTCAAACATCAACGATGGCAACATTTCACCGATGATTTCTCATCGTAATATTATATTTTGTATGGTCCTATAACGTGGTTGCCTTGAATTATTAGCAAATTATGACGATTAACGTGTGTTCTTTATGAACTACTAAAGAATACAATTGTTTCTTTTTATTTTTTTCTTCTTACCCTTTTCTCAGTTAATATTTACTAATATATTACGTTCTCTTTATCGAGTAGACTCAAAAGACGAAATTTGAAGTCTCTGATAAAAATAAAGCAAACTCATTTTTAGAAAATAAACATAGAGGCGGATTATTTTAAATGCTCTCGGCAATGACTCGAATAGTTTTAATTGTTTACTCTTATTATTTTCTTCACTGCTTTTTTCTGTGTGTTTATTTCAAATTCTTAAACGCATGCGCAGTGTTATTTTTTCTCAGATAGTGGCTGACGAGTGTTAGCCAAATGTCGCCTTTGTTGTTATCTGATAAGTCATGGTATAACCTTCAAACAATTACAACTGCTTACGGACTTTACAAAACCATCTGGAGTTCAGGTAATGGCACTGAGAGAGATATTTTGTGCTGTGAAGCAGCTGGTCCGGGTTGAATGTCTGTATAGGGCATGTGGTAAATAAATTACGTAATACTAGTTGTGTAGAAAAAGTGTTATAGGCGTATGCATCTTGTTGTTTGATTTTTATCATGAAATAGGTAAGAAATTATCGTATGCAAGGGTTTTATTCGAAGTCTAAATGAATTTAAATCGGATTTATCCACGTATTTTTAAAAAACAATCACGGAAAGTACAACATGGACTTAAATATTAACGATTTAAATCGGATATATCCATTCATCGTTTCAATAGTTCAGTCATCATGGATATAATAAGTCTACGAGTCTACTTACATAAACACAAATTAATTGAAGTACAATTTAAATAATCACGTATACAACCGATGTATATGTGCAATCACATTATTATTCAAATCCGGCTTTGTCGTAATAAGATGTGACACGTTTTAAACTCATATTAATGAAGATATTGTTTTAAATGTGTTAGCTCCATGATAATAATTGACGATTAAAATCGAATATATACACGTATTTAAAAAAAAACCAAAAAACTGTCAAGTTCCACATGAAACCAATCATCAATATTGACCAACATGTCCCACGTATTTCTATATATATATATATCCACGATTTAAAATGGATTTAAAACGAATATCCCCACGTATTTTAAAAAAATGTTTATGGACAGCCCGACGTGGATTTAAATCGACAATACAATACAAAACGATATAATAGATCCACGATTTAAATCAGATATTAATATTAGTGGATTAACACTTTCTGCACCATATTCTACATGTAGCTACTGTGTATTGCACACAATACTACTGATGGGGTATACTGGTATGCGTTCGGTCGTTTCAGTCCCCGGGGGGAGGGTCACATTGAAGTGCTATATATATATATATATATATATATATATATATATATATATATATATATATATATATATATATATATATATATATATATATATATATATATGCCGCCAAAGGGGGTCCCAAATTCACCACTTCTGTCTAAAAACGGGTATGTTATTGTTATTTTACCCTCTGCCTGTCTGAAAAAGGGGTATCCTTTTTTCATTAGTTCTGTCCATATTTTCCGAAGACTGTCTCTAGAGCTTGAGTGATTCAACAACCAGGAGAATGAAGCTGGATTTTTCTTTCTGTAATTTCATCTCGATTGTCAAAGCATTTTGCATTTTTTCTTTTAAGCCCACCTGCTTTCCCCTCGGTTCCCTCCCATTTATGCTAACTGTCTGTAAAGGGGTGTCATATATCCACAGTTTGCCTGAAAAGAGGTAGGCAATTTGAGTTTATTTCTGTCTGATAAGGGTTAGGGGTTTCAAAGAACCAGCTACACACCCCTGTCAGTTTTTTTGCAGTCTCATAGATATCGTCCCGCAGCTCAACTGATCTGCATTCCGTCGTGTCAACCTCTTCGCTATCCAACCGATTTAGGGTCCAATACATGCCTAGTATACTTTTAAATGTATATATTTTGTTTTAAACATATTTGGATTTGTTTTTTTTTTTAGTTTCTCCATGCTCTATGTCAAATTAATCGTTGCTAATCGTCATAAGTAAAGCTTCGAAGTC